TGCAGAGCGAAGGCAGGTCTGCCGGGACGGGGCAGAATCTGTTTGGCGAGCGGGTTCGTACGTCAGTGCCAGCGCCGGGACGCAGAGGGAAACCAGTCTGACCTGCTGCCCGGCTCCACCGCTGCCTGTTTCCCAACTGCTCCAGGCACAGCACACAAAATACCTGCCCCTGCTGCCGGCCGCCCCGGCCAAGCGCGGAGGAACGCTGAGCAGGGGCAACAGGAGCCTGAGGCCAAAGGTCCGGGACTCTGTGAGCAGGTGAGGTCTGGCCTGGGGGAAAGCAACATCCTGGGCACCCAAGGCTCCTGACTGCTCTCCTGGCTGCTTGCTCACCCTTTCTGCACTGCGTGCCTGCCATGCGCTCACCCACACCTCGCCAGCCCTGCCAAGGGCCGTGAATCCAGCCGAAGGTGGGAGAGAAGGGGATGCGCAGCCATGTCCAAGCCCAGCAAAAATCCTTTTGTGAGCCGCAGGTGAGTGAGATGTCCAGAACATCCTGTTTCAAGGGAGATGAAATGCCATTTCCCTCTGTTTTCTCTAGAGGCTTTTGCGCTCCTTTGCTATCGGAACGATGCTTTCACGATGCTCCTGCTTCCTCTGCCGGCTGAGCTGGGAGATGCTTTGCTTAAGCCAGAGCTCACACTTGGGAGAAACAAGTTCAGACATCTAGAATAAAGGGAAAAAAGCCTAGCTCCATTCTCTGCTTTCTGATGGGCAGACGGCAGACCCTTGTCCCTCGCTGCCACATGCCCCGTGCGCCCCCAGCCCCGGCTGCCATCGGAGTGGCTGCGGAACGGATGGATGAGGCTGGTGGGGAGCCTGGAGACTGTGCCTGCACTCCTGGTCAGCCAGGGCTGCACTGTGGTCTCTGCTTTGCCCTGCACGGCAGAGAGGCAGATGGCTTCCCAGAGATGCAGGCTGCTCCCGGAGCATCACTGAACCCAGACGTCATCGCAAGAAATGGCCCCGCTCCTGCCCGGGAGGGCTGGCACCAGGCAGTGACAGCGCAGTGCCTGGCTGCAAGGAGGAGGGCAACCTCTCCGATGGCCCTGTCTTGGGAGGCTGTGGCTGGTGGCATGGTGCCTCCCGTGAGCCCCATCCCGACACCCTATTTTCCAGGCACATTTCTCCCAGCATTATTCATAGGGTAAGCTCCCCACCCACACCTGCACATCGGAAGGGCAGGAGACAAGCAGGGCAATCCAAGCTTGGAGGAAGCTTGCTTCAAAGCCCCCTTGGTGAAAAGACCGGGATAGATCCCGCTGTTCCCTCCACCCTGCCCGAGGCTCCCCATCCTGCCCCTTCCCAGGAGGGTCAATCCCTGCTTTTCTCTTGCAGACAGCCTGAGGCCAAACCCAGACAGCCAGAGAGGGGGATTGGGGAGCTCGGAGCAGACCGACACCTGAGTCTGTCCTGACCTTGGTGTTTACTCCCGTTTTCTCCTAGCTGGGTCACTGCCAAGCCCTCTGCCTGCCTCTCTCCAATGAGCCCACCCAGGTCCACACATGCGCTTCAGCACCCAGGGCAAATGCTTGCCCCATGGTGGCCACTAGCCAGGCTGCCTGCTCTGGGGATCCCCGGATTCCAGGGTGTTTTCTGAGCCAGCCCTCACTCTGCGGCACGCTATTCCTCAGTTTTCACAGGCACGACTGACGGCAGCTTGTTCGCCGTGCCGCCGAGGGCTCTGCCCCGCTGGGGTGCAGGGGTGGGGGTCGGCAGGTGTCGGCCAAGCAGCGAGCGGCATCCCCAGACAGCTCTATCTGAGCTGTGCGAGCGGCCACGTCCTCTCCTGCGAAGGGATTCTCAGGAATTGAGTCCAGGTGGCAGCTCCAGGAACAATCGCTCCCCGGGGTTTCTAAAAAGCCACCTACAAAAACAAGTTACAGAGAACCGGGTGTCTGGGCTTAACCCCGGCAACCCCACGGTAAATGTCATGTGTGTCACCTCCCGGGTGAAATTCTCGCACTTTCTGGCTGGTAACCGCTCCTACGAGCCCTGCTGCACCCTCCCAGCTAGCAAACCGAGGTGCCAACAGTCACACAGCTGCAGCCAGCACTGCCAGCCCGGTGGGGGACGGAACCGAGGACGTGCTTGGCCCCACAGCGTGTGCCCGGGGCTTGCGCCTGGCAGGAGCGGGACGCAGGTCGGGGACACGGCAGGTCCCAGCCCTCGCTGCCCCCAGGAGCTACAGGAGCCCTGGGGAAGGACGTGCGGTGCGGTTCTGACTCAGGTGATTTCCAGGTTATTAAAACCCCTGGCTATTCAAAGATTAGTCAATTGTTTTGAAAATGAAAAGGAAACTGGGCAGCGCTCCGGAGGGCTGCTTCGACCCACGAACTCAAACCCTCTCCCGCTGACACTGACAGCGCGGGGCTGCTTTTTTCTGTCACGCTTTGGTTTTTGCACGGTGCTTCAGGTGTTGCCGGCGCCCGCTGCAAAGCTCGCCTGTGGTTATCGCCGGGATCCCCGCCTGTGCGGGGGCTGCAGGGCTGGGGGTGCTGCGCTGGGCAGGGGGTGCTGCACCCACTTGCTTCGTGGGCTCAGAGATGGGTCTGCCCTCCTCCCCCTGCGAGACAGCAGCTCCCTTCCTGGGACCCCTCGCAGCGTGGCTGTTGGCAGCAAAGGTAGCATGGAGATGTGAATTCTGCAGCCTCAAGGATGCTGAGTGGCATTTCACGGGGGCTGAGGGGAAAGCACTGATGGACAGGGCAGCATCTGTGCCGTGAGTCGCGGAGCGGGCAGCATGTGGGGATGTGGCCACGTTGTCCCGCACCAGCTCCTCCCGTGGCACCTGGCAGCGCCCGCAGCCTGCAGCAGCTCAGGTGCCAGCACGAGCACCGTGGGGTGGCTGCGCAGCTCGAGATCTGGGCATTCAGCAGAACTATCATTTCTCCTCAGCCTGTTTCATTTTCCCCTAAACTGCCAGCTGTTTCTCCCAAGCCTCTGAACCGCCTCATCTGCAGGACCAGTCCCGTGGTGTCTTTCCTCCCTCCTTCCTCATTTATTGGTCCCAGTGCTTTTGCTCTTCGCCCCTTTACAAGGAACATGAGCTGTGGCTTTGTGTGGGATGAGCTGTGCTTCATCTCAGGACTCCTACATTCAGTGGCTGCCAGATCTGACTCAAGCTGATAGCTGCGTGACAGGGCACCAGTGGGTCTCCCAAAGAGGGGAGAATAAAACCAAGGCAAGGGGAAACCAGGGAGGGGACCTGCTGCTGGAGCTGTCCTCCCCTGCCCGTCCATAGCAGCGGAATGGCCATCGGCAAGGGACAGCCTCTCCCCGCTGCCAGGCACCCCATGCCACCCTGCTCGTATTCCTGTGGCCCTGGCGCAGCCGAACTGAAGCCTACATGTCCCTGGGTGCTAGGAGAGCCAGGCGTGCCTCCGTGCCATGCCTGAGGTCCTGCCACTGGGCTCGGTGGCACTGCAGGGCTCACCCTGCAGCTGACGAATTTGCTGGTGCTCTGGCAAGGCTGAGAGTCCGTGGAAGCCCATGGGCTTTCGCATGAATGATGTCAGGGGACAGACTCTGTTCTGTCAGGCAAAAAAAGCAGAAATCTCCCTCCTCAGGCATTTAAGATGGCTCTTTGAGAAGCCACTGCCGTGGCAAAGGGAGCTGATGTCCTGTGCCTCTATGCCTGCCAAGTCAGGGACTGTTTCGAAGCTTTCTGAGGCTGTCCAGAGCACTCTCGGTTTCTCTTGCACTTTTTATCTTTGTCCTTTCCACTAATTCCCCAGTGGGAAATTCCTCTTCTTGAGACAAATCACTTTCCACCACATGAAGGCCCCCGGGTTTGCACATGCCCCAGGAAAGCCCTCAAGCAAGCTCTGCTGTAATTCAGCCTGCCAGAAGCAAAGCAGAGGACTGCTTGGTGGTAATTCAGGTCCCAGCACTCCAGGCCAGTGCCACCAGGCAGGCAGGACATCGCCCTGGGACCAGAGCCCTGCACCTACTCGCATCACGGCTATACCGGGGCTCTGGGTCTGGCTGACAGCTGCCAGGGTCCCCCCAGCACCCGGTGTCAGAGCTTGCGATGCCAACCGTGTGCAGGGGGGGTGAGAGGACATAGAATAGCCCAGAGGTTGGCCCTTGGCCCTAGAAACTGGGGCTGGTGAACTGCAGGCTGAAACAGGAGGGTATGGGCTGAGCCCAAAGGAAAGGAAAGCAAGAACCCCCCTCCTGGGGCTCCAGGGCTGGCTCTGACCCGGCCAGCTTAGCCACAGGCAGGACAGGGGACGAGCCCAAGGGGATGCTGCTGGTGGGTGCTGCGTTCAGGAAAATCCCTGTGACAGGTCACCCTAGGTGCTAGCGTTCAGCCCCTGTGCTGCGTGT